TCAATAGCCATGAAGTCAAGTTGATCACCTTGCCATCTATGGCATGAAAGGTCCTCTACTTCCCAGATGCATGTATTTTAAAATAACATTTTTGCTTTTCTACTTTTGTATCTTAATCATCACAGTAGGTCATCTGCCTCTGTTCTTAATAAGCAGACACAAATTTACAGGTCTCAATTCTACCCACTATCCTGAATCTTCTCATTCCAAACACTGTGTTCAATGGCAACTGCATCTCCCCCAAAGGACACTTCCTCATATTCAATGACACGAGGACCATTTACAGGCTCTCTACAATGTTGGGAAGAAGGAGTTATTTATAGTGAGATTCTCTTTTATTTCCTTAAGTTTTTATTTAAATTCCATTTAACACAGTGTAATATTAGTTTCAGGTGTACAGTGTAGTGATTCAACACTTCCATACATCATCTGGTGCTCATCACAACAAAAGCAGTGAAATTCTCAATTAAATTTCTATTTTTTACATAAAAAACCCAAATTTTCCCCTGGAGTTTTTTTATACTCCCTTCTAATTACTAACCTTATCTTCTCTTAGGTTAGTAGTAAAAGGTTCTCCCTTATATCCAAGTATTAATGCTACTCTTGGCAAGATAACAAAATTTCACTCATTTAGCAAATAGTTATTTAGTTTTTACCTTCTTATATATTTACTGGGGAGGGAGAGAGGCAGTTAGAAATTACTCATACACATTTCCTGCCCTAGCAGTCTTGATAATCCAGTAGCATGCCAAGGTTAGTGTGAAAACCATTACAAATATAACAGTTCATGCTTCACAGTAAGTGACTATAGAAGAAAAGATGGACTCAGCATCCATCCCCAACTTTTCCTAAGCTGTCTCTGGTACTGCAGAGACTAGATCGCTAAAAACGACATTTCCCAAACTCTTCTAGACAGAGGTTCTACATCTGGATATTGCTCTACCAATTAGATGCACTCATGGGATATCTGAAGGGGGGAGTGTGGTGAAGGCCTCATTCCTATTGTTTCTGCTATTCTTTTTTACACTTGATCTTAGCCAAAAGGCCGAGAAGCGATGTGCTATTCTTTTTTCAGCTGGTGAGCACGGCTGTGGAAGCATTAGGTTTTTCTGAGCAGCATTCTGGTGTCCCATACTAGGTTTGTGAGTATTGAGAAGCAGCTGGAAGTGGTGGCAGCTTAGCCACCCTGGTAGGCTAGTCCCACCTACTCCCTTTGTAGGCCAGTTCAGAGGAGCTGTTCCCTATGTTGTTCCTGCAGGCTCAACCTATAGGCTGTTTCTTTAACCCGCCAACAATTAGGAATACCCAGTTCCTACGCTAAAGGCATTTCTAGTTGAAATAGCTAGAATGACCTCAGTTTTCTGCAACTTAACTCCAACTGGTGGGGTTCCAATATTGGTAGGAAAAAAGGAGGGGAGGGAGGAAGGGAGGCAGACAGACAAGATCACAAGTATCAGGGAAGATCAAGAGAGGCTCAATAAAGAAGGTGGTGCCTAAGCATAAGAGACTGTTAAAAACTGAGAACAAACTGAGGGTTGATGGGGGGTGGGAGGGAGGAGAGGGTGGGTGATGGGTATTGAGGAGGGCACCTTTTGGGATGAGCACTGGGTGTTGTATGGAAACCAATTTGACAATAAATTTCATATATTAAAAAAAAAAAAAAAAGGTGGTGCCCGACATCGTCCTTGATATATAGACATTATTTTGACAAAAACAAAAAGGAAGGAACTAGCACCACTAGGCTGAAGGCAGAGTGTGAACAAAAGTACAGAGTTATGAAAGCTCAGGGTACCTTAAGGGTTGAGTGGTCTGGTTTTTGCTGAAGTATTGAATATACTTATTTTGAAAAGTAAATAAGACCAGGGGTGTCTGGGTGGCTCAGTGGGTTGAGCGCCTCTTGATTTCTGCTCAGGTCATGATCCCAGTGTCATGGGATCAAGCCCTACATTGGGTCTGAGCTGAGCATGACACCTGCTTGGGATTCTCTCTTTCTTTCCCTCTGCTGCTCTCCTCCACTTGCTCTTTCTCTAAAAACAAACATAAGCTTAAAAAAAAAAAAAGGCCATACTCTGAAAGGTTTAAAGTGCTTAGGGTAAAGGGTTTAGATTTAATTCAGCAACTTATTGGGGCGCCTGGGTGGCGCAGTCGGTTAAGCGTCCGACTTCAGCCAGGTCACATCTCATGATCCCGTGAGGTTCAAGCCAGCGTCAGGCTCTGGGCTGATGGCTCAGAGCCTGGAGCCTGTTTCCGATTCTGAGTCTCCCTCTCTCTCTGACCCTCTCCTGTTCATGCTCTGTCTCTCTCTGTCCCAAAAATAAATAAACGTTGAAAAAAAATTTTAATTCAGCAACTTATTAAGGTTTTTGAGTAGGGGAATACCAATATCACTCCTTAGGGAAACTAAAAGGGTAACAAGGATTGGAATGGGAAATCAGGATATGGTACAATTAGGAGGCTCTTACAAGAGGATGGGTAAAAAGCAGTGAGGGATTAAACCTCTGTGGTAATTTAGGGAATGTAAGAAACGGGATGGATGTAAGAGACTGCAGAGGTATACTTCACATAACTTGACAACTGATTAATTACATATAGATCAGGAGAAAGGAGTCAAAAATGACTCTGAGGACAGTGGTTCCAAAAACAGAAAGAGGGAGCACAAGAGGATGAGTTGGTTCGGCTCTGGGGAAGACTGAGTTTGGCTTTGGATTTACTGAACGTGAAGAAGCAACAAGACCTTATGTGAGGGTGTCCAGAGGGCATCTGAAAAGGCAGGATTTTTTTCTGAGAAGTCAACCATATTGAATCTGGAAACTTACCTCAATATCTGGTGATACTTTATCTAAAGTATTCACTAAAAAGAAATTAACTCTAAAGACTTCCTATTTCTCTAGCTACTCCTCATCCTCTTTTGCAGGCTTCCCTTCCCTGATCACACCTTACAGATCAGTTTTCCTCAGGGTTCCATTCTCATTTCTCTTCTTGCCAAACCAACACCTTCTCCCAGGGAGCTTATACTGTCACCACATGTTCATGACTTCCAAAGCTGTATGTCTAACCAAGATCCCTCCCTAGAACTCTCCTTATCTGTTCATCTCCTCTGCTTACTAGAATCTCTACTTGGCTGTCTCCAGGCACTTCACACTCAACATTACCCAAGTTGGACTGATCATATTCTCTTCCAAACCTAGTCCCTACTCCATTGTTCCAAATGAATGGCACCATAATCCACTCAACTGCCCAAACCTGAAGCTGGAAATCAGGGGGTCACCCAAAACTAATCCTTTTCCATCACCACCATCCCCCAATCCAATCGATAACCAATTTGTGAAGTCTACCACACAAATATCTACTAAAGCTATTCACTTCTCTCCACCCCCACTACCCTGGTCCAGGCCACTGTCATCTTTTACCCAAAATAGTTGCAACTGCTTCCCTACTGTTCTCTCAGTTTTCAGAGTCATCATCCTGCAAATCATTCTCCTCCCTGAAGTCAGTGGGATCTTTATACCATACAAATTTGAACATGTCACTCCCTTATGATTTCTCACTTGACTTCCCAACTGCCCTTATTGATAAAATCTTAACATCTTATTTGAATTGGTTAGCTTTTGCTTTGTCAAAGTCACCCCCAAATTCAGTGAGTGTCTCAACACAACAAACTTTTAAAAAATTTCTCATGACTCTGGGTTGGCTGGGCAGTTCTTCTGGCCTGAGCAAGCTCAGCTGGTCTCTGTGGTAATCAGCTATAGGCTATGCTGAGATGGAGATGGACTCATTCCCATGTCTGAAGGTTGGCTCAACATTAGCTGGGAAATGATGAGGACTCAACCATGTGTCTCTCATCATCCAACAGGCCAGCTTGGGGTCATTCATATGTGGTGGCCAGATGGTTCCCAGGAGCAGCAGAAAGTAAGCTCCAATATACAAGTGCTTTTCAAGCCTCTGCTTACATCATCCCATTGGCCAAAGAAGTTACATGGCCAAGCCCAGATTCAAAGGATAGAGAAACAAGAGATGACCTCTTAATGGGAAGGTCTTCAAAGTCATGCTACAAACAATATACATACAGTAAGGGTCAGAATTTGTAGTCTTTTGCAGTCTATCACATTAATGTACTTTACAAACTTCTTATGATCTGGATCTGATTACCTCTTATGTCTCATCGCTTAAAACCTGACCCTTGGGGCTCCTGGGTGGCTTGGTTGGTTAAGTGTCCAACTTCAGCTCAGGTCATGATCTTGTAGTTTGTGGGTTCGAGCCTTGCATCAGGCTCTGTGCTGACAGCTCAGAGCCTGGAGCCTGCTTCAAATTCTGTGTCTCCCTCTCTCTCTCTCTGCCCCTTCTCCCACTCACGCCCTGTCTGTCTCTCTCCCAAAAATAAATAAACATTAAAAAAAATTTTTTTAAATAAAAACCTGACCCTTGTACCAAGACTCTCATCTACTTCTTTCTTTTTTAATTTTTAAAAATGTTTATTGTATTTTTAAGAGAGAGAGAGACAGAGCATGAGAGGGGGAGGGGAGCAGAGAAAGAGAGAAAGGGAGACACAGAATCTGAAATAGGATCCAGGCTCCAAGCTGTCAGCACAGAGCCTGAAGCGGGGCTCAAACTCAAGAATCAGAAGTTCATAACCTGAGCCGAAGTCAGCGCTCAACTGACTGAGCCACCCAGGCATCCTGAATCTCATCTACTTCTAACATAATAGGCTGTTTCCCTTTTAGGACTTTGTACATACTGTTCCTCTACCTTGAATACTCTTTCACTTCACCATCATTTATCTTTCAGGTCTTCTCTTAAATATCATCTTCTCTAACAAGTCTGCTTTGATCCCCTAAGACTGGGGTAGGAGCCTTGCCACTCTGCTTCACAGACACTGTGCTTACTCCTTCACAGCTCTTAACACATGTAATACCAATACTCTCATACCTGTCTATACCTTCCACTACATTGTAAGCTCCCTGAAAGCGAGGACTAGGTCTTCTTCATCAATGAAGCCCAATGCACAGTTAAGTTCTTGATAGATTCCTGATCAATGAAATGACCAGATATGAAGTATTAGGGCAAAAGAAAGTAAAGAAAAAGAGAATTATGAATATGGATAAAATGTGATTCATGGGTAAATCAGTTTTACAGAAAAATAAAAAGATTTGAAGAAAAACTTGAGACCCCTTAGCTTTCATCATTCCAGAGGTTAGGTAAGACCCTGAGAACCATTCAACAAGTCTGAAACTTGTCACTGGGTAAAAGAAAAGGATGGAAAGTTAGATAAAGGTTAATGCTACAAAAGAGATTATGAACCTGAAGTAAAATTAAACAAAATGTGACAAATATTGGGGCAATATTTCTGGCCAACATGCACCAAAATTCATTAAAAAAGTCAATAAAGATGGTGAATTGAACACACATCACCTACTTTTACTGCTTCTCTTGTAGATTAAGCATGAACCTATAAGACCAGAGAGAACAGGAGAGCAAACAATGGTGGGGGAAGAAGAATGGAAACTGAAACGCAGATGATAGGAGGTAGATGATGAAATGGAAGCAAGAAAACTGAATCCTGTTCAGGAGGTGGAGAGCCGTAAGAATTCCTAAGAGTCAACTGGTGGTAATAGGTTTCTCTAGATATAAGGGTGGAGCAGAGCTAAAATAAGGAAGGAAATATGGAAGCTGAAAAGCTTTTTAAATTTAGACACAGCTTAGTCCCCAGATCTCATATTCTACTCTACAAAGTGGAATGACCATCCC